TGTTGCTGGGAAGTTTTCAGAGAAAAATATATTTGAGAAAGATTTCATGTTGTACGGCAGCACGGATGTGCTCGGCTCAAGAAATATATTTATGACTTGAAAGTTTAATCGTCAATTTGGTAAGAGGGCGCAAGCCGAGAGTATTAGGGCTCTGCGCACCTGTTCCCCGGTTTAGTAAAACGCCTAGCTCTTCTCAATTTTGTATCTTGGCATGATTTGTTTTTTTGTTGTGATACATAGTTTTCTATAAATTGTCAGGTTTATTTTGATGTGGTTTGGTGAGATGTCAGTCATTGCTCAACCACAGGGTTCAATACAAGGTCAATACTTCAATAATATATTGCTAAATGGTATACGTGTACAGCAAGAAAAAGTTTTATGTACAGCATATTTTGTTACCAGCATATTCTACAGAGTTCATCACTATTTACTGCAAACCAGGAAGTTGATGTCATCATATTGTCTAGGAAATCTATATTTAGATCTGAATAACAGTATTAAAATTATACAGTGTTTGTCACATAGCTTAGATCATAACCCCCTTGAGAAAAACATGTTATTGTGTAGGTGTCATCAATCATTTATTTTCGCAAATATGATGTTCATCGATGATCTTTCCATGATTATATTAGAAGCACAACTCTACAAGAAGTTCACATAAAACCATGCATTTATTATAAACTATATCAGTTTATAAAAATGGCTTATTTTAACTGTAGATATACATAAGCACAGACAGTTCTGTACACTGTACGAAGAATTCTCTGTGTGGTCATAAACTTAGTAACTGTAACTCTGTATCATCTTTGCTGGACTTGACCTGAAACAATTCAAATTAGAAATAGTTGTAATGCTTCTCTTGTTAGCTAGTAATCAAACATAACTGATTTTTGTTTACATATTCACACCTCTTTTGTTTTGTAATTTTTTTGCAACTTCCTAATTTATTAGCTGTTAGAAAACGTTCAAGTAAAGAACATTTCAAAACTCAATGACACTGGCATTCAAGGCAACTTGCATATAGCGATTTTTTGTAGCATTTTCAACTTAGTTAAATCGTAAAAATCAAAAACATAATTACGGTAGTTTTAAGACCATGTTTTCCGTCCTCTGCGAGATCCTGCCCTATGCTTATAGCATCGTTAGTGGCGTCAAAATATTGCATGAGATTAAACAAATACCAAGGTATTTTTTAGCTTCTTCGATGCCTAATTATGTGCTGTACACATTTGATGAAATTCTTTTGAAGTAAAGGTATCTTAACACCATAATTCCCTCTGAAAGATCGCCATTTCAACATTGAACTATAAAAATAAGAAGTTCAGGTTCAAAATCAAATCCTTTAATTTTTGTGGCAGACATTCATTCTCTGCCTTTCTCACGTATTACGCAAGGTCTCGCAGTGAATAGAAAACAGTCTATTGATAAATGTCACAAATAATATTTTAAAAACATTTGGTAATTCTGAAACCATAGTAATTTGACTAATTTGATGTATATTCAAAGCTGTTTACAATGTATGCAGTCTGTGTACATGCATCTTATATTGGTAGCATATGATGTGGAATACTAATGGCATTATTATCATATCAATTCATGTATTTATCATAATTTATAGTGATTTGATAGGTTCCACATAATGGCTTTTCATTTCCTGGACTGATAGACATTATAAAAATAATAGTTGGAGCGAATGAATGCGATTATTTCACACTTACTTGTGCAGATGTGTAGTCTGGAATTGCCATAGTTAATTGTAATATTACCTTTTTCAGTTTTTCCACATGTTTTGGTTGATGTAGGATTGAGCAGGCGCAGGGCAAGTCCGTTTTAGCTCTGTCAACTACAGAGCAACAGTTACACTTGTTTGCAGTCAGATAAGGCTGCAGTGCTGTTTTTCACACAAGACCAAAAAAAAGTTTTTTTTCCCTTTGGAATTTTATTATCAGTTCACCATCATGAGTGAGTGAGTGAATATGATAGAATATATATTAAAGGTGGTTGACATTGCTCTTGTATGCGCAAGATATGGTGACTTTTTGTTGCGTAGATGAATGTGTACAAGTCACCAACCAGCAAGGTTTAACTCAGTAATTGCTGGGATGACTGAAATGACTAGGAAGTAAAAGTCTGTATTTAGTGTATATTATGGCCAGACCACTTCCCTTTAAATACATATTAAATGGTAAACATAGATCTTGTTGATACACAAAACCATTTTGTTTGCCTACAGGTGTGATGCATCATGGGAGTACAAATATTCTTTCAATTTGGATGCACAATGAAACAGGCATTGACTTCTAGTTCAGACTGACCATACAATTGAAGTATTGAACATTATTATTAATTAACTATTTATAATAAATGCAGCTTGTGTTTAAGTTTGAAGCTTTTTAACCCTTTTCCGGTCAGGGGAGTTTCACGCTATCAGGTTAAGTCGTTGAAAAACGGTCATGATTCAATGCACTCCAGTAGCCAGCATCTGTGCATGCTATCCTGCCAGACATTTTTGCAAAAATAGGCCATAGTTAACAGACTGTATCGACCACAGTTTTCACATTTTTTGCAATCTGTTTGCATACACACTTCATTACCACCATGGACAACAATTTCTCGTATAAAAAAAATCACCGTTTTATTTCAATACACATTTTTTACTGTCGTTAAGTAACGATGTTTTGCCCTTTGTACAGTCTCAATAAACACGTGTTAAACATTGAAATAAATATTGCTTAATTGAAAACACATTACAAGCAAGTACAAGGTCACTACATGAATGCAAGTTCGAAGTAAGAAGAAAAAAAACGCGTGAGTATGGGGATATTTGGGACATGTACGGGGGAAAACGTGTTTGACGTACTCGACCCGTTAGCGTACATTTCAAATTGCAACGTATATTCAACGACTTGAACTACATGTGTAACATATTACAACGTACTTTCCGTGACTTAACTGATGTTATATTCAAGCTCTAACGTATATTAACCGACTTGACCGTATGAGTAAGTCCACACTTACAACGTATATTTAACGACTCAAACTGAGACTGAAACGAACGAGAACGTAACTGCAACGACTTGATCG